ATAAGTCCGTTACTAAGAACTTCAGGCATTGCATTATCCCAGCTGTCTCTCGATTGTTGATTTCCACCTCCAGCTGTATCATTTCATTACCAAATAAACATGCTCAAGTTTCTCCCATCTCTAATCTTACCTTCTTGATCCCACAGCAGCATTTGGCTGCTGCCCCATTTCTCTGTCCCTTTCCTTCTCAAGCTTCTCAAGAGTCATCTACACACGTTGTTTCCATTACCCCTCTCACATTCATTCCTCAATCCACTGCAGTCCAGCTTTTTCTCTCATTACTCAACTGAAAAGGATCTTGTTAAAGTCTTCACATTAGACAGGCTAAGCCAACTGCTGTGACAAATAACCCCCACATTTCAGTAGCTTAACATAATCCAGATTGATTTCTCATTCCGGTCAAGATGCAATGTGGGTTGGCATGGGCAAGAGGAAAGAGGGGCTCTGCTCTACGCACTTATTCAGAGACCCAGGCTCCACTTATCAAAGGGCTCTGCAGCCCCTGGGACCACTAAGGCTCTGTGTTTAGCTGTCAAATAAAGGAAAAGAGAGCTTATAAAATTGCCTGGGAAATTTTAGGGACCAAGCTTGAAAATGGCTTACATCACTTCTCATGCACTATTGGCCAGGGTTTAGTCACATGTTCTTACCATTCTGAAGGAGATTCTGGGAAATTGAGTTTGACTCTGCCCCCCACCCCCTCCCCAAAAGGAAATGGTTTTGGGAGCACACAGAATTATCTCTGCTACAGTCCCCAGAAACTTTGATGTTGCCATACCCACTGGATACCTTTTTGTCCTCATCCTGTTCTATCTCTTAGAAGCTATCTAAATAAATGATCATATTTTCCTTCTCAAGATACTCTTCTCTGTAAGCCATTCTCCTAGCTTTCTTTATTAGTCTGGCTGCTTCTCCTCAGTCTCTGTTGAAGATTTCCCTTTCTCCTCTATCCAACTTCTAGATGACTGGGATGGAAAGGTTGTTCTTCATGAGATTGGTTCTCCTTCTCCCTCTCCCAATTTCTCATTCGCCATTCCCAAGGCTACAAATATCATCTGTATCCTGAGGACTCTCTGGTGTATATCTTCATTTTTCACCTCACCTCTGAGTCCTAGGCTCATGTTCACTGCCTGTATGGTGATTTCATCAGATATTTCACTGGCATCTCAAACTGAACCTTTCCAAACAGAGCTCACAATTCCTTTTACCTCCCACCTCCCACAACACATTGTTCTTCCCCAAATACCCCTCTTCTTATGTTTATTTACCAGTTGCTCAAGCCATATCTTAGAAGTTAACCTTGATTTTTCCTCCTCTTTCTCCTTCTCTCTTAACTTTCATCTCAAATCCATCAGCAAGACCCATGGATTCCAATACATCTGGAATTCACCCACTTCTTTTCTACTATCCTACACCAAACCACCATTACCACTTGCCTGGATTATGCAATAGCCTCCAAACTGGTTTCTTCATTTTTACTCCCTCCCCAACACCATTCATCACACAGCAACCAGAGTAATCTCTGCAAAATGTACATGGCATCTTGTCACTCCTCTGCTTAAAACTCCTTCAGAGGCTCTCAATTGCACTCAGGATAAAATCCACACCTTGTAACATGGACTCCAAGGCCTTGTGTAAAGTGGCCCCTTGTGTTATGCTGTCCTTCCCCATGGGGATGGTAGAGAGAGATTGGCCAGTGTATTCAAGATGATGTCTCTCAAGAGCTTACAGTCTAGTTGTGAGCACAGGTCTAATTCAAGGAAATCATGCCAAGAAACAGCCATGCCAGATAGCAGCTGTTTAGATGCAAACCCAAGTGACACACATATAAAGAGGTGAAAAGTGTTGAGGGAGTCTTGTGGGACAGCTAGAAGGGAGAGAACCACACCTGTGTTGTTCACCACTGCACACTCAGCATGCGACACAGTGCCTGGCATACAATAGGAGGCAATAAATGTTTGTTGAACAAACGAATGACATGTAATCATGAATGAACGCTTGACATGATTCCCGTCCTACTGGAGCTCACAGCCTGGTAGGGGAGGCTAACTAGTAAACAAACGTTTAGTTGTATGATACATGATGGCAGGGGTATGTATGTTCAAGGTACTCTAAGAATACATGGGCAGTAATTGTCAACTCTTCTTGGGGAGGGGTCAGGGAAGACTTTGGACAAGAAGATGACACTTACCTAGGACTTGAAGCTACCCTTCAAGTAGGGATAAGTCTAGAGGAATGAGTGGAGATAGACATCCCAGGTTGAAGACACTGTAGTGCAGATGAAAGAAGAGTGGTGTTTGTTTCTAGTGGGGGTCATCAAAGCACCAGACAAACAGCATATGATCGAGTGGCAAACTATATGTCATAGACCACCGGGCTTTGAAGGATGAGAAGGAAGTGACTAGTTGGCACATAGTAGGCTGTCAATGGATGCTGGTGGAAAGAATGCAGGTTGGATTACTAAGGGCAATTTGGGGAAGATTTAAGTCATTACTGGGCCTTGAAATATAAAACTACAGTCAAAATGGAGACAATATGCTAATAAAGATCATAATTAATATTAATGAGAAGATAGTCACTGATTGTATGGATCACTCAGTGGAAGCAGGAGCCAGGTGGATGAGGAGGTGTGTCAAACACTCCAGCAGGCCACTCTGGCTCTGTCACCCTGGGGGCGGAGGGAGGAGGAGAAAGAGAGGGAGAGAGGAGCATGACACATGTGGTCTAGGATGGGAGGCTGCTTGCTCAGTCTTTTCTAGCTGCTACTGTCCAAAGAAGCCTTCCTCTCTGCAAGGCTGTAGGTGCTCCCAGGAATGCTGATCCCCAGGAAAGGTTGCTTTGTGTGATATCTGCAAGGGTGAAAGTCTGGGTCTCACACATTCGCCCTTCCTTGCTTCTTCCCTGCCCAGATCCTGCAGGGGCAAGAACACCGGAATTTGGGGATGATGGTCTGCAGGGGTAGGGAATTCAAACAGAATGAGTGTCAGCCTGAAAATGTTTGTCTCGGTGGAGCTGGTGATTGGAAATGCTCTGGACAGTCTTGGTAGAAAGCAGGAAGCAGAGCAGGGCAGCCTGAGGGGAATGTGGGAAGGACGGTGCAGTCCCCCATCTCTCCTTCAGAGAAGGATAGAATGTGTGGGTGATCTTTGGGTCTCTCTTGTTCAAATCATAAATTCACATCCCCAACCCTACTTACTTGCCAGTCTCATCTTAGTGGTCTTAAGCATGATGGTGGAGGTCAAAAGTATCAATGTTAATGATAATAGCTAACCTTGACAGAGCCCACTATTGTTCTAAGGCCTTTATGTTAATTAACTCATTTAATCTCTAACTAACTTTGGGAAAGTTGCTTTTGTCATTTCCATTCTACACACATGGAGATTGAGGCTTAGAGAAGCGAAGCAATTTGCCCAAGGTTACACAGACACAGAGTTGCATAGCCAGGATTAGAACCTGGCAGTGTGGCTCCTGGTGTCACTGTGGCCCACTAGTTCTAGGGGTGGCCCTAGGGAAATGAAGGGAGGGCTCCCAGGACCCAGCAAACCAGTGAAGGCTGTGGCCAGGAGCTAGCTGTCAATGCTGCGTTCACTGCCAGGTTCTGGGAGTCCCTGGTCTGGGTATGAGGAGGAGTCTGGCTCTGTCATATTGGTGAAGGACACTGGGCAAACACCCTTTCAAAGCCTTTGTTTCCTCATATGTATAAAGGGAGAATAATTGCTAATCCATAGGCTGCTGGGAGGGGTAAATGAAGGAACACATGCCAAGTGCCCGATGCATCACTGTAGGTGCCCAGTAAATGACCTCCTTCTTCTCCTTCTCCCTTAGGTAAAGCTTGCTTCCGGCACAGCTTAGTCATCTTTTCCACAAATATGTACTGAGGGCCTACCAGGTGCCAGATCATCTGCTAATCCCTAGGAAATACACTGATGAAGAAAGAGGCTGAAGCAACATGGGGTGGGTTGGGGAAATGGGCCAGAGTGACCAGAGAGAAACAACATGGATTTTTAAATAACTCACAAGAACACAATGCCTGATAAGTGAATGTTCTCTTCAAAGCAATAGCCTCAGGTGGGCTTGTGGTAGTTCCAGACATGCTGATGCTCTGCCAGACACTGAAATCAACCCATGCATGCACTCTCCCCGCAGGCCTGGTCGGTGCGTTTTCCACATCCGGGAGGGCTAGAGCAGGAGACAACCTCACATGCTGCATTGGAGATGGATAGTTCTCTAAGTCTGATGTCACAGATTATTCAAGACTTCGGCTCAGAATGGCTTTGGAGTATTTTTTAAAACTAACTAAACCCAGTTCAGTAGGAGGGAGCTTGGGATGCCCACAGGCACCTGTTCAAGGAGCTGCCTGGTAGTGGCCAGTTGGGAGTGGGGGCAGAGTGTACCAAGGTTACCTCCAAGTGGTGGGTGTCCAGCATTTGCTTCTCTCAATGAACTTTATACAGAGGACAAGGGCCAGCTATTTACTGGGTGGAAGAAAGAGGCTGAGGCTAACAGACTCTTGTATTTGGGTTCTTTAAAGAGTTAAAAGAGTTGGTGGGTGCTCTTCTGGAGCCTCTATAACAGCTTGGAGTCCTCAGGCTAGGTGCATGCAAGACCTCTTAGGAGTGAGATTTATTCCATTCTGAAGAAGTAACTCAGGAGGGCTTTCAGAAAGTCCTTCCCTGCAAGACCTCATGGGACTGAAGTACTTGACTTGATGGGTTGGCTCTGGTCCTGCTTGCAGGCAGGGGGTTGGATTAGGTGACCCCCGAAGAACCTTGCTGGCATCAGGATTCTGGGCGCCTTCGTGGCCATGTGGAGGTGCCTGTGTGCACCTGTGAGTGCGCCCGTGAGTGTTTGTGTGTAGTTGGTGGGAGGCGTGTGAGCGTGGCCTCCGGTGGGTGTGTCTGAAGCGCCCAGCTCAGGGTTGTGCCCGCGGCGCCCACGTGTGGCTCCCAGGCGCCTGCAGGAGGAACCGCGCCTTTGCTGTCTCTGCCAGAGACGCCGTCCGAAAGGAGGAGGACCGAAGGCTGATGACAACAGGGCGCCGTCTCCCGAGTGATGGAAGAGCGCGCTGCCTCGCCGCCTCCGCCGCTCAGCTCCGGACTCCTTACGTCAGGGTAGCTGGGTCACCCCTCCGCGCAGGAGCCAGCGAGCAGCCGGAGAGCAGAGCAGAGCGCGCAGCGGAGCCCGGGCGCCCTCACTACGCACCGAGCCCCGCGGAGTCCCGCTGAGCCCCACTTAGCGGGACAGGAGGCAGCATCGCCGAGTCCGCTCCGGACGCCTCATCAGCACCAGTGCTCCCCAGATACCGCCGCTCCGACTCGTAAGGCGCGTGGTTAGTCCTGTGCGCCCCGGCCATGCGCTCTGGGCTCCGCGGCTCTTCTGAGCAGCCCTCGCGCGGTGGGCACCCGCGACTGGCCCAGGGCGCCTCTCGCTGAAGTAGTTGGGTTCCCGGAGCAGGGGTCAACACGTCGGGGGTGCGGCCGGGATCCGCGGAGTCGGCCCCCGAACGCGGGGAGCCGGGCCGCCCGCGCCGCCCCACCATTACCTCCCCGGGAGGCAAGGAGGAGCTGGTGGCTGTCGCTTCCCGGCTGTGGCAGCGGCGGCGGCGCGCCTGCCTGGCGGCCGTCGGCGTGCTCCTAGCCATGGCTCTGGGGCTGCTCATAGCGGTGCCACTGTTGCTGCAGGCGGCGCCCCCCGGCGCGGCGCACTACGAGATGATGGGCACCTGCCGTATGATCTGCGACCCATACAGCGCCGCACCCGGCGGAGGGCCCGCGGGCGCCAAAGCGCCGCCGCCCGGACCCAGCACTGCCGCCCTGGAAGTCATGCAGGACCTGAGCGTCAACCCTCCGCCCCCTTTCATCCAGGGACCCAAGGGCGACACAGGGCGACCCGGCAAGCCAGGGCCGCGGGGGCCCCCTGGAGAGCCGGGCCCCCCTGGACCCAGGGGTCCCCCGGGGGAGAAGGGGGACTCGGGGCGGCCCGGGCTGCCAGGGCTGCAGCTGACCGCGGGAGCAGCAGGAGGTGTCGGGATGGTGGGTGGCGGAACTGCGGGCGGCGGCGATTCTGACAGCGAAGTGACCAGCGCACTCAGCGCCGCCTTCAGCGGTCCAAAGATCGCCTTTTACGTGGGTCTCAAGAGCCCTCACGAAGGCTACGAGGTGCTCAAGTTCGACGACGTAGTCACCAATCTCGGTAATCACTACGACCCCACTACAGGCAAGTTCAGCTGCCAGGTGCGCGGCATCTACTTCTTCACCTACCACATCCTCATGCGCGGCGGCGACGGCACCAGCATGTGGGCAGATCTCTGCAAGAACGGGCAGGTCAGTGTCCCCCCAACCCTCACCCCACCCCCCTGACCCCGGCAAATCCCCGCAGACCCTCGCCACCACCCGGCGCCCCGAACCGCTTGAGAACCACCAGTCTCTTTTCTTCCCCCTCGCGAGCGCCCGAGCGAGCCCCGGAAGGGAGTGCGCCACAGGATCCCACTTCCCAATGAGCCCTGGTCGCGTTTATCCGAATGTAGCATGCGAGGTTGTGCTGGGAGCGCCCCGAGACCCCGCTACCCAAGCTGCACTCCCTGGCTACTTGCGTATCTCTTCTGCAGCCGCGTGGGCTTCTCGGAAAACTCATTCTTTTTTAGCTCTCACTGTACGCCCCCGGTCGCCCCTTTGTCCTACAGTCTCCTTTCCTCTCAGCAGTGGCCCCTGTTTCCTACCCTTCCCGCTGGGTCAGTGTCCATGAAGTCCCCTCTCTCCCTCCTTCCCGGATTTGCCGGCGGCGGAGAAGAGGGGACCAAGGAGTTGCTTAAGTTGGAGAGAGAACGTGCAGCCTGGGTGGGAGCGTGGACCCTGGAGCCGCCGGCCAGGGGGCGCGCCAGGTGGGGGCCAGGTGGGGGCCAGGTAAGGGTCCAAGCAAAAGTTCCACTACCCACCCGCTCCCGTGGCTTGCCCCCAGGTCCGGGCCAGCGCCATCGCACAGGACGCCGACCAAAACTACGACTATGCCAGTAACAGCGTGGTGCTGCACCTGGATTCTGGGGACGAGGTGTATGTGAAGCTGGACGGTGGGAAGGCGCACGGAGGCAATAACAACAAGTACAGCACGTTCTCGGGTTTTCTTCTATACCCAGACTAAGGGCGCAGAGAGCGCGAGGTGGGGTTGCTTTAGGCCGCCCTCTGCCCACGGGGGCGCGCTGTTCCCTGGCAAGGAACACTCTCGCTTCATGATACTTCCAGACATCGTTGGAAAAGACACATCCCTGCTGTCCTCCCTGCCCCAGTCCTGGCCTCAGTGTGTCTGCGACTCACCACCTCTGGGCAGTGCTCCTGGTCCCTGTCCCCAACCCAGGGAGGGAGAGGGTGACGCCCATATGGTGAGATGAGCTTGAACCTGAATCCCGTAGGCAGCCGGCAGCGGCGCAATGGCGGCGGCACCAGCGGCGGGGGCAGTGCAGAATTTGTAAGCCTGATTGGACTGGACAGGACGGGCAGGACGCCTGTCTTCTTCCAGTCCCCCTCCTTCTCCGAGCGCCCTAAGACCGAGGCCTTCCAGCCCTGGCCAGCGAGGTAGGCCGAAGCGAACATGAGCTCCCTGGGGCGTCCTTCATAACCCGAAATACGTGTGCAGATTTCCCTGTCCATCAGCCAAAACCCCACCCGCAGCAGAATCCCAGCAAAGAGAAAATTCGCCTCTCCACAAACTCCTTCTTCAGTCCCACAACAATGCATTAAATTATGTTTTTAGACTACAGGCTCTGATGTCTCTGTCAGCGTGGCCCCAAGGCCAGAACTCCAGATATCCACCTTGGCATAAAGACCTTAACTCGGCCCTGAATAGCCCCATCCATGCCTGCTTGTCAGCTACTGCCTTGTCCCTGCCACCTAGGGTGGGTGAAAAGATGTAGGGAGATGGAATAGCAGCATCCCACCCTTTGGGGGTAGGGATATTTCTCCCCTAGGCTGAAACCCTGAGCTGGAGGTAGAGTTAGAGGCAGACAGGACAGGAGTGGTTGCATCTCCAAGCTCCCAGCCTTGTGGAAGGAGGTCAAAGGGCAGGAGTTTCTGGAGAAGAAAAGGGAAGAGAAGGCATTTTTGCAAAATGAGAGGCAGGAATGAGGCACTTGGCAGCAGGTGATCTCTGGGATGTTTGTCCATAAAAGGAAGTGCAGAACTCACCTGCAGAACACACACACACACACACACACACACACACTCACACACACACACACACACCCCTTCCAGCAGGCACATAGTATGCTAAACACATGTGTATTTGCTCACACACCAGCTAGGGCCACAGCTCTCAAAAGAGCTGGTAAACTGAGGCAATCTGGGACTCATTCAGCTCCCTGAATTCACCCAGAACTGTGTGGAAAGAGATAGACACTATCCCCTTTCTGGGGTCTTCCCTTCCCATTTGAATGGTGCTGTGGGCACCCGCTCTGAGCCTGAATGTGTCTGGTCTCCCCAATTTTATTCCTGTCTGCATTCCACACACATAAGATAGGAAAGCACCCCACATCGTTTTGATTTTTTTTTTTACTTTTTTGTTTTGTTTTTATCAACGAGTTCCAATAAACAGTATGTTATCTACAAAATAACCAGTTACCAACCTGTTAGTACTTACTGAGTTCATTTTGACCAGTTGTTGGAAGAGAAATGTGTGTATGCAGAGGCAACCCTAGAGTGTGTGTACCTGTGTAAAGCCGGAGTGGAGGTATACACACACACACACACACACACACACACACACACACACACAGAGTACACATACACTGTGTGGATATAATGGGGTCGTCATCACAAATCCATGTTACACACATACACATGTATTCATAGGTCCCTGTATGTGACAATGTTCATGGCTGTATCACATTGTGCTAGACTTTTGTTTCTGGAGGATGCTGAAAGCTGGGATTCCCATTTAAAAAACAGTTATACCCCCGCTCCAAGTCCTGTCGCTGTTGCTATTCTTCTTTATGCTCTTATTTTATTTAAATAATGTTTTATTGTCATTCACTTGAATATTAGCAATGACTGCATCTGCTTTGATTCCAGAGATAAAGTGCTCAAAGAGAGCAAGGTGGAAAAATACCCCGACCCTTCCTTAGTTCCAGGCCCAAACCGAACTCCAATTCCTCACCCACCCCATCCCTGCTGATTGTGGAGTCCACACCTAGCCTCGCCCAGGAACTGGGGAGGGCAGAGTTGGGCCCCGTCTATAGTTGCATACGTATCAATTTCTGATGACTTGTCGATTGTATCATCCAGAAATGCGATTAAAACCAAATGTCTGAGACCCAAATGAAGTCTAATTGCTATGGATCTGCAATCCCCAATGGGCCCCTAATCCTTTTTGACTTATTCTTCCCCTTCCTCTGATGAGATGGAGCTTAGACACAAAGCCCTTGGTTTAAATTTCAAAAATTAAAATTGACATGCAGCAGTGGCTTTCCTGGGAGCGGGAGGAATTTCTAAGGAAGTGCCCTCACCCAGCTTTATCCTCTGCATTAAGAAGCAATTTGTACTTCTAACAAAACCTCCACCACTCCCCTTTGTCGGAAGGGCAGTAGAGATGCCTTGCCGGGGTCTGGCTGTTCACAATACTTAGACAAATTTGAATCTGAGATTCCTCCATCTGTATTCCCCAGTGCAACTGGGCTTCTTGCAATTCTAATGCCCTGGCTGCGGGGAGGTGCTGCCAGAGGTGTCGGCTGCTAAGAGGATGATAGATTGATGAGGCGGCCGGCAGGAGGCATGGCCAGCTCAGGAGAAACCTTTCTGTCTGCACACTCTCTATGTCCCAGGCACGCCCCTCATGGCACACTGAGGTTCATGATCCTGTGATCTTTCTGGAGGACTCCCTGAGAAGGGGGCAGGGAGGTTGGGGGGGGGGAGACTAGGCCTCCCACCCTTTCCATCTTTGTCATCAGCCTTGTTGTGCATGTGGAATGCAAGAAACCCTTTGCCCCACACACTTATCCTTTCTTGTCTCTAGCTGAGTAGGGAGTTATTATCAATTATATTTATAAAAGATTGTTTAAATTTCCTAATTGCTTTCGGGTCCATTTTCTAACAGTGTTTTCTGGGGTGGGATTACCATGCTGGCATCTCCCAGGAGGCAGAAAAGGTATTATTCTGTTCATGTGGGAAGTGAGGAAATCAGGGATCAGAGATATCCAGTGCTTTGCCCAAGTTCACGACGCTTAAAAGAAACTGAACCGGGACCTGAACTCAGACCTCCAGGCCAGGCCCCTGACAGTACAGATGGGGCACATTCACCTCCCAGAGTTACCAAGCAGATGGGTGGGGCACACTTCCCCACCCCTTCCTCTCCGTAGGGAGTCTCAGCACCCTCTGCACGTCAGGTGAGAAGATCCAGCCCGGCTTCTCTGGCCCAAGCCGCCTCCAGAGAGCACCTACTCCTGAGGCGTTTGGCCGAATAGCTTGGCTTTGGGGTCAGTGTTGATGGCCCAGCAGGACCCTTAGATCACAAACTCCAAATGCTCCATTTGGACCTGCCTGTCTCCGCCAGCAACCCACCCCCAGTAAGGCCCACTGATCACCTTCTCCTGTAACAGCTGTCCCTCTGCCCTCTTGGTGGTGAGGGGTGTGTGGGCATCTTGCAGATGCAGAGAGTTTACATGAAGTGAGCGTGGCTGTCCCTGATTGGCAAGAGGGCCCTTTCTTCATTCCCAGAGTCTGCATCTATGTGACTAATTATTTTCAGGGTTGCCTGAGTGTATAAGATACACACCTGGCCTCGGAAATTCGGATAGAAGTTGTGCCTTCTGCTACATTTTCCTCTTATCTGCATGAGCAGGTGGCACTCTTGGGCTCCCAAGACAAAAGATCCAGGCTCCCTGATTCATTGAGCCATGATGACGCCATGGAGGGACCTCATGTGTACTGTGGAGACCAGTTGCTCCAAACTTGACTGGTCGTATTGGACACACATTTTTGAGCACTCAAGCCCAATGTAATATCTCTGACTGATGAATAATTTATGCATACTATCAATCCATACTTTAAAATTTTTCTGTCTTTTTTTGTATTTGTATTCACCAGAGGATCTGCACGTTCAAGTCAGTATCTGTATTCTAGCTGGTAACCAAGTTTGGAGACAGGTCTCCTCTCATGGGAACAAAAAGAAACAAGGGTTAATCCATGTGTTTCCCTTCAACTTGCCATTTTTCCAGAATCTTAGGCAAGAAAATATGTCCACATTATAAATTAGGTCTTGAAACTGTCAGAAGCACTCTGATTTTATTTCTGAAGAAAAAGGAAACAAACAAAAAAACTAAGCTGCTATTTTAAAATCCTGTAAATGATAGACATTACAGAAGCCGGAAAGTAATTCTTAAACGTAAGCTTTTAATTTAATTATGTCTATAATGGTGATAAGTAAGTTCAACTCACACACTTTCGTTAATCTTCTACAGTGAACATGCATTTTAGTTTCTCATAATTTTCTAAACATATTTCACAGTATTTACAGATGTGGAGGTTTAGGCTTTAGAAGGGCAATAAAGCAATTAGATAGCACTAGAGTCCTTATGTTTATATTAAAAGGCAGGAAAACCCAACAGGAAATCTACTACTTTGAATTGACTCAATTTTAGTGATGTCTGAGGATTTGTTTTAACCTGATTATTTTACAAGCAAGTTCTTTACATAGACTCCTAGATAACAACATTGTCAAGATTTACCCCAAAGAGCCAAAACAAAAGTATTTTAAGACCCAAGTGGTTTGCTTTAGTTTCCCTGTAATTAAGCTGATTCATTGCTTAAAGGACAGCTCTTTTTTTTTTTTTTAAAGAAAATATGTTCCTTCATGAGTCATAGGTAAGGCTGTGCACTTGAATTCTTGGAGTGCACAGTTTCAATCCATATTTTAAGTATTAGAAATGCTTGATTTTCTCTCTTTTTTAGATTAAAAAGAAATAAAATTAGAGTTTCAATATTTTCTTTTTATACCTGATTTTGAAGCTCTGATATTGGCATTAAAGCCCGCATGGAGTCAGGATGGGCCAGGGTGCAGGGCAGAACCCCGCTGAATATTGGGGCGGATAAACCTGGCAGGTGGAAATGAAATATTTTGGAAATGTTTTTGTCTTCTGTTATTGCCGTATTCTAATTCCCTTCAATGAATGAAAGCAATTCCCAAAGAAGCATGCATCGTAGCAGCAATTGCAGAAAATAAAACAAGCAATTTTTAAAAATAAGTTTTATCATAATAATTTCAAAAATACTCAAAAATGAATAGAAGAGGGTAGTGAGCCCCTATTGCCTGCCACTCAGCTTTGACACTGCATCATGGCGAATCAGGCAGAACTACAGTTTATATTTGTTAAGGCCTTATGATGTGCCAAGAATTGGCATGAGGGCACAATTGTTTCCTCACAAAACCCTTGTGAAGTAAGTTTTGCTATTAATCTTACTTCACAGGTGAGGAAACTGAGGCTCAGAGAGGTGAAGTAATTTGCCCAATGTAAGGGCCAAGGTCTGTTTGACCCCAGAGCCCAAATTCTTTGGGGAATACGGGCAGGGCAGGGAGGTGAGACCTTGAAGACACATCACAAGAAGGGCTCATTGATATGACCAGCTTCCCATCCAGCACTCTGAAGGTGAAGCCAGCACCAAAGACTTTCTGTGGAGCCCCCCTCCCACCCTCACGTGTCTAAATTCTCTTAATATTCTAATCAGGTTCTCTCCAGGACTTCTTACTCACCGCTTCTTCCTGTTCCAG